AGAGTATTTGGTAAAATCAGCATGGGTTTGGAGTATTTGACTATCGCAAAATCGGAACATATAGTGCAACCAGGAATAAAGTCTACTGCTACATTTCGATAAGTTCCAAGAAATTCTGTAGGAATAGTAGCAATACCTCTAAGGTCGTGTTTTTCTTTTGTATCAATTACCAACTTTAATCGTTTAGCTATATCTTCAGACATGATTGGAAAATTTGCTCCAGGATCCACTATGGCCGCCGGGATTATTAATCGTTTGATCTTGCATTTTGTAGTTACAACATCTGTAGCCGGATCTTTTCTCTGAACAAAATCAATTTCCATAGGATCGTCCAATGTCTCTTCTTCTTCTGAATCAGGTATTGCTGGGATTGGATCTCGGCGATTTGTGAAATCCGGAACGGGTAAATATAAGTTTCTCCAACTGATGTGGGAGTAAGACCTTCTCGAGCATATCCAGTAAAATTTTACGAATATTCCGTTCAAGGATAGTTGATTTACTGGAAGTAGATGTGTCTTTTTTCATTTTGCGTGATTTGGACTTCTTAGAAGACGATTTATTCGAATTGCTCTTATTGGAAGGTGACTTATTTTTTGAACTATTCTTTACTTTTTTTTTTAAATGCGTGATATTGACATTGATATCGGCTTCAGATTCAGATGAGGTTTCCTCAGAAACGGAGTTATTATCTGAAGAATCATAATCAGAAGAGTCTGTATCTGAACTAGAGCCAGAATCCACAGTAACCTTATTGATATTACCGCTCTTTTTGGATTTATTCTTAGATCTTTTCTTACGAGTACACTTGCGAGAATTACATTATGCCCGGCCCTGTTGCAATTTGAGCATCTGCGTTGGGATGTTTTTTTAACCTCCTTCTTGACCTGTCCAGATATAGCCTTATTTATTGACAACTTACTCATACGATCGGCCAGATCTTCATCAGAGTCAACTTCTATATTCTTTGAAGCACTCCCTCCATTTTTCTTCGAGAATTTATCCAACAATTTTTTGTAAAGATCATTAGCTAAAGATTCCATGATTTGACCTGTTGAAGGAGTTGGATTTATGATATCGGTATGAATATGCCTTTCAAAATTTATGCCATGCCCATCTGGGGGTCTTTCTGGCATATACAGTATTTATCTAGTACTCTAGGATAATCGTCAGAATTACTGTAGATCGTTGAACTTGTATTTGCTGAGATTGTGTAGAAGCTATAATAGATTTTACAAAGCTTTCCATTTCATCTCTACTCATATTTGTATTGCTTGAGTAATTATTTTTTACACGATTTTTACTAGATGATACTGAATCTGAATTTGAATGTAGATAAGCCCCAGATAATTGTTCCGCTGTATATCTTTCAATTTCTTCAAGTTTCGGGAGTAACTCATCTATATGTTTTTCAAGCCCTAAACGTCGAACTTCCATTTGATTGGTAGGTGAAAGTCCACGAAGAAATTGCAATCGAATTTGTTGTTCATCAATACCAGAAAGCCTAGCCAATCTACGTAAATTAGAATAAAAACGACCAACTGGATCGCTTCCTTGAACAGTTGTACCAAAAAGTACTCGTTGTTTCTCTGCAGTTACTGTAGGATAGTTAGTCTTAAACCAATATAATACCTGTCCAAGCATAATTCCAGGTGCAACTACAGTATTACCTGTATTAGCATTGGGTGCATTGGGTAAGCGATCAGTTGGTCGTCCATCAGCAAAAGACCAATCTTCATCAAATACTGTATGAGCTGGAATTCCAACATTACCAGCTTGTCCATTGGCCCGATTTAATGCTTGTGCACCTAACTGAACTGCTGTTCGCCCTTGGACTGCACCTAAATTAGCTTGTGCTGTATTATCAAGTAAATTTCTCAATTCCCAATTTTTTCCGTGGATGGTTCTTTCATACCAATCTTTAGCGTCGCCTTTGAGAGATGCTATAAAAATATCATGAGCATTAATTCTATTAGCATGGTCAGCACCTACGTCTATTCCAGAACCTACAAGCCACAATCTTAATTCTTCAATATGTTCTTCGGGATCTTCAGTAGGATATCCATTGAATTTTTTTAATTCGTAACCCACCATTCCTATATGATTAATATTTATAGGTTGATTATTCTGAAGCGCAAAAATTTGTTGATTCAAATTCAAAATTAATTGCTGTGAATTTCGCTCTCTGATTTTCCACTTAATATGACTTGCCTTACGATCCTTGAATTTATTATAATATCTATCAAAGAGCCGATCTCGATTATATTCTAATAATCCTTTATCAGCCCTGCATTGTTGTAACTCCTGTTCTAAGCGATGAATAAATAACTTAAAAATAATTTCAAGAGCGTGCCTGAGTTTAGACTGTTCATCCCATATCAAGCTTGCATTATGCCACAAACGTCCTCGCATATCATATTTTCATTGTAATTCTCTGCCATGTATTTGACACCTCCGAAGTTTAAAATTGAGTTCAAGTTTATCAAGTAATAAAGTATTAATCCGCATCTGCATCCCTCTTTCCAATTGATGGGCAATCCCCCACCAGCGACGATATTCCACCCGTTCATTATTATAGGCTATAGTCATCAAAGTTAGATCATTCTGAGAATTGTCGCGTTCTTGAGTAAGTTGGTTAACTTGATTCCATAAGTTATCTCGTTCTTGGGTAACTTGATTGACTTGGTTCTGGAAATTATTTTGATTTTGAGTAAGCTGATTAACATTATTCTGTAAAGTAAGGCTATCTTGGGTAAGTTGATTAACACGATTTTGCAAAGTAATATTTTGCTGTCTATAACCATTAACAAACTATTTTTTATATAAAAATAAAAAAATTAAAATCAATTTTAATATTTTAAAAAAAAAGTAAAACTGAAATAACTAAACTTGAAGCATAGCCCAAGCCTTTACGCTTGTGGAAGCTCAAATAGTGGAAAAACTAACATGAAAATAAATCTCATGCTCGGCAACAAACTACAATGTACAGTATAGTATGTTCAATGGTAAAAAAGGTGATTGGTTACTTCTGTTTCTTCATTTACCTCATTTTCTGGTATTTTTTTTGAGTCAGGAATTTCAGTTATATGATTTTGGAGACGGGCCGTCGTCGAAATTTCACCCATGTGATTTTCTATATTGAACTCATTATTAGAAATATTATCGATAATCTTTTGAATTTGTTCGTTGGTCAATTCAGAAATAGAATTTGCACTATATGCTTTAAGGTATTTAATTTTATCTATGCCTATTTTTTTCGAATAATTTATAAGTCCTCATGTCTCTTTGAGTCTTTTTACATAAGGTTTTACGTGAAACTTTTGGGAGTTGTATTCTCATTTCTTGGACCTTTTCTCACGGATAATAATGAGGTGCTCTAATATTTTATCATAAATTATACATTTAGCTTTTTTCTCGCCAATTTTTCCATTACTATTTTTCACAAGATCATTATGCTGAATTATAAATTCTTTCCCATAATTAGTCCAGCATAAAGTTTCTTCTTGGTTAGCTTTTATAGCATAATATTCGGCATCAGTTGCTCTATCAAATAATTGTGCTAATTCGAGTAATGAGATTGTATCAGAATTTTGACGACGGGCCGTCGCTGAAATTTCAGTCACATGATTTGAATCTGAAATAACATTATCCTGAACGCCATTAGCTATCACCTGAGCGATATTCTTTGTTCCCTTTTTCTTGTGCGATCGGGATGTTTCGTCTTGGCTTTTATTTTGATTCCGATCCCAAAGCTTTTTCACAGTTTTTGAGTCCAGAGATTCAGGTGTCGACATGGTTGATACTTCGGATCGTATCGGTGGAGTTGAGTTATTATGTGATTCTTGAAGTTTTTTTTCCCGGTTCCTCTCTCTTATCTCACTACTAATCCTTTCCTTATGTATCGTTTCTACAAAATCAAGAATTTCAGCTGAATCGTCATGGATAATATTTTGTGGTAAAGAAGTTGTAGATGTTTCAGGCTCCGTTGAAGATTCAGGTTGGGTTGAGCTATATTCTATTTCAGGCAAGGGATCGGGAGTAATACCTTTCTCCTCATAAGAATGGCTCTCGATAAGTGGTGAAATATCTTTTGTAGGAGATGGCACCTGCTCATTAGTAATATTTTGCGTCTGTTTCCGTTCCAATTTCGTGATTCTATCTTTAAGCTCAGTATTTTCTTCTACGGTCTGTTCCAATTTGGTGATCCTGGCTTTGAGCTCAACATTCTCAGCTTCGCGTTTGGTGCTTTCTTCCATAACCTGTTTTAAAAGTTCGGCATCTTGGCTTCGAGCTCAGACTTTTCGACTTCGAGCTCAGAAATCCGTTGCTTTAGTGAATCAATTTCAGATTGCATGTTTTAGTGATAGATTGTATATATCCAATTGTTTATTTAAAATGTATAACCAAAGCAATGAAAATTTCGGTGACAAACTGAAAATATTTAACCACAAAATATTGTGGATCATAGGAAACGAAATTATTATTATTTATAAATTGCGATTTTCGCGCAATTTACAGCTTTATTTATTTAATTTTAATATGCTAAATATATACTAAAACTCTCTAACAAGGATTATCTCTTCGCAACTTTATTAGGTGATGGTTTTGTTTGGATAATCTCTTCAAATTTTCTTTTCAAAATCTGTATAGAATCATTATCATATTCTATTGTCGTGTTATTTTCCACCTCGGTTTTAATAATTACCTACAGTATATTATAATTAACTTAGAACGAATCATTTAAAAGATATTTATAAAATTACAAAATGGAACTTACCATAAATTTCAATAACCTTAATATACCTGACTTCATATCTGAAATCTTATTAGGTTGAGAAACAATGTTTAAACTTCCATATTCGTCATATTATATACACTCCGTATTTCCACATCATAAACATTGTGATTTGGAAAAGATAACCCAATATTCCAAAAACAGCCCGATCATTATATTTCATGTCACCCTTCCCCATAGCCTGTAAAATTCGAAAATTTAGACAATCTCACATCTCTCTGTATAATTTGAAAGAATCCATTGCCAATTTTGTTAAATAACATTTGGTGGGAGGTCCGGCTTGTTCCCCAACAAAAATTTCTTCGCCCGTTTTCTCTATCCACGCTAATAAATCTGCAGATTTTCCATCAATTACCCTGTCTACAATAAAGTTGTGCCCATGATTTTTTCTATACTTCGAGGCTTGTACCGGAACTTCCATACTAAAATAAAATAAATTCAATAAAATCGATAATAATATAGTAATAAATCAGTCAAACTCTATACTTACGCCTTCCAATCGAGACCTATAAGTTCCTGTAATGCCCTTGAGAAAAATCGATGCCCAAATTCTGACCAATAATGATGTTCACTACTGTTTGTCGCACTGATATCTGGGGTTGGATTTGTAAATGATTCGATCCTGCAATATAAGGTGTTAGAAAAAAATGTGTAATAAATGACAATAAAAACCTTAGAAACGCTTACAACGGAAGCATAACTCGATTCAAATATTTTTTTATTTGTATTAGCTCTTTGTTATCTTTCTCTTTCACAATTCCCAGCTCTTCCGTAATACGAATCCAATCTGATATACTTTTTATTGACCCACTTTCAGTTGTTTCCTATGAAATAATAGAATCAATAATTGCTGTAGATGAAAAATACAAATTATAGTATATAATACCTTAAAATATTATTCGATAACATCACACCAAACTTCTGGCAATTCAACTTCCCTTTTTGGTTTTTTTGATCACATTTTTATATAATCACCAACTGACAAAAATTTCGAAAACTCGCTTTCTCCTCGAATATCCATTACGTCATCATGTGTGCATCTTATATATTAAGATGTTATTAGTTACAAATTAATGAAATACGCCCTAAGCAACTGTTACTTACGAAAACGGATCACCTTTTTGCGATTTCTTGTATTTTATAAAATGTGGAATGAAGTCGCCAAAATACTGTTCAATGCAAATTATTGAGTATTCATTGTATGCATTAAAAATTATCAATCTTCAAATGAATACCTTAGATTCATCAAGCTTCACCAAGCTTTTAGCAGACATTCTTAAGATATTTTCGTTAATTGATATTTCTTCATTGTATATGTTACTGACGATTTGATGAGGAGGAGTTTGGAATCCATCTGTACAACAAATAATAATTCCAAGAACAGTCAAATTTAGGTAACAATATCTGAACCTAAGACAAAAAAAAAACGGAAGACTTCTTACCATTATCATTTTGCATAGCGATTTTGTTTACCAATTCATAATGATCAATTCCCAATGATGGCTCTTCCTGAATGGGTGTTGTATTAGACTCATCTTCTGGTTCTTTAATTATTTAATAATAAATATTTTACAAAATAATGTTTTACATATATTTATAACAATAGCGAGCTTAACATACCATCATCACGTGAAGTGCATTAACGAGAAACGGAGTTATTTTCCAAGTGAGCTTGATCATTTCCGGATACACTTCCGTTCACCTCATTTTCACACTTAATTATTTTAAAATTAATATAGAACAAGATAATTTATGATTTGAGTATAATTAATTACATAATTCAAGTCCGTTATATCGGAATCTGAAATATCAGAATAGTCTACTTTCTTCCGTGGCCTAAAATCCCATTTTTTCAGGGGTTCTCCTTCCTAAGAAAAGTCATATATTTCTGATTAGTGAAGCGCTTATCGAATGATTGATCATTTTTAAAGACTTGCCTCTTCCTTTCTTAACAGGCTAACATCGTTGATGATCCCAGAGTCGCCCAACAAAGAATTCCCAGTAAAGGTTGTGTTATGAAAGTTAAATGAGGATCCCTCTTTGACCGATTTACGTCTATTCTCCCATTGTCTAGCTTCTTTATAATCAAGTCGATCCTTTCAATTAAAAATTCGCGAATTAGATTAATAATTGTTTTAAACTAAAACGTCCCTAGGCTCATTTCCCCATCAAGTCAGCGTGTGGCCTTGAACAACAGATAACCGAGTGGGTCATGTGTTGCCTCAGTGGGACCAGGCTGGATCAGCGAGTGGCCTTGAATATCAGACAACCGAGTGGGTTACCTGTACCCCAACGCTGGTTTTGTGGCTCAGCGAATGGCCTTGAATAACAAGAACCGAGTGGGTCCCTGTCACGCCACTATTCTTAAGATACACTTTCAAAAAAAATATTCCTTGCTTTTTTATATCTTTCAAGAAGCAATTTCGCCTTTTCCTTTTTCTTCTCTTGCCCACAACTAACAATTGTGTCAAGGCACCTAAGGTATCGATCTATCTTCCGTTCAAAAGGCTCTATGTCGCATTCGTCTAGAAAACCGGTAATACACCATTCAGAAGCTTTGCGCGTGAAGTATTTGTGCATTTTGTCCATTTTTATTTCGGTGTTCTTGAAGTTGCAAGTTACGCGTCCTGGAAATGTCACACAGATTCTTGCCCTTAACAAGATCTGATATGTCCAAAATAAATAATTAAATCATGTGAGATAAATATCACGTGATGAGACAGACGGACAGTCGATCCTAAGGGTCTCACTTTTTTAAACATATACGCTTCGGACAATAAATGAGCGATTAGATCACATGATCAAAATTTCAGCGACGGGCCGTCGTCAAAATCTGTATACAACACTTTTATTGATACATTACGTTCCTGATCAAAATTTTTTCGATTTTTTTCCGAATCTCGGTAAAGAAACAAAATTAGTCCATTATCTAGTGATTAATATCGGTATTACAAAATAATCACGATCCCTCCGAAACTTTAATAAAAATACATAATAAACCGCGTAATAAATAACTGAATAGAATTGCCAGAGGCAATTACAGAGTAAGCTATCTATTTTCCAGCATTTTCATATATGCGTTGCCTTTTACTTTCTGGTTCATCCTTCACAGTTATCCGATCTTCTAGTAGCCCCACAATTATTCCAACCACTTTTTTAACGCCCTTTCTGATCGATTCAAGATCCTCCTCCAATGCCGTTTTGGATAAATTAATCCGATATTCGCTTTTGCTGGTACAATATAAACCTTCCGTAGCGAGTTTAATAAAATGCCATTCCGTAGCTATGTAGAAATAAGATAATAATCAGAAAATATAACAAAATTTTTAGCGGGGCAAGCACAGGATGCTATTAACTTTGCTATACCTGTTGAGACTATCCCGTAGAGATAATAATCATCATTTTGAAAAGCCTGCTCTGCACTTCGTTTTCTTTTATTCATATGACTCGCGCTCTCCAGTTGTTTTATATTTTGGAGATATCCAATTTCAACATTACGAGGTTTTCCCTCTGCTATACATATAAGATCTTCGTACCCTTTGATTGAATAATCAACACGACCAGAGCTATCTTCACCGGATACATCATCTTGGTATGCAATATATATTTCTTCATTGTTAGTGAGTTTCCGAATAATCGCTATTGATGCGTTCACGATAGAAGTAATAAAAACACAGCGGGTTGCTTCATTGGTGTTGTCCTGTATAATCTAAGCCTTAATATAATTTCTTTCATACATCGCTTGAGAGCTTTTTCATCATCAGCGATTTCTTCATAAACTGTAGAAAAAAAATATATATGTGAATACAGACACTAGCTCCGTTATACAAGTATTCTATTACAAAAAGTAATAAATATATTTTATTTACCTGGATTAAATTGTAATTTTTTTGCCGTTGACTTTATATTTCTTGAACAATACCTTCAATTTATCTAATGTATTATATGACGAGAAGGCCTGTAATTTTGTTTCATTAAGCTCCTCAATAAAATCAGCAAGAATAGTTGCAGGTCCTCCTTTAAAACCATAACGTTCAAGTTTCTCTTCTGTTATCTTGAGAAAGGCACGACCAGTTATTTCTTGTTTACGAAGAATTGCAAAATGGGGATCCTTAAGTTTCAAATCCTGCCTATCCAAATAATCGATAAGCTCCTCAGTATCGTAATCCTTTATTACATCCCCATGGTACGAGTTATCCTTTCTTCCGTCAAAGTAGAGGATGTAGAAACAGGTGAGTAGGGTGTTGAATTGTGCGAAGACATGGTATCTTTTATATGATATATGGCGTAAAAAAATTCTGGTTTATGCGATGCGTTATGACCTCCGGCTGA